AGTCCTCGATATGCCATGATGAGCACCTGCAGCAGTTTCATGGCATTTGCGTAGCACTCTCTTCTTCTCCTCATCTGAAACAATTACCAAATGCATCTGTTTCCTGTCTTTTCCCACATAGAACAACTTATTTTCTTTGAAAACAAATTTTTTGGCTGCTCTTCTTATTCCACTTCTCTCACTTGCTAACGTAGTTGGATGATATTCTCCTGTTCGTTTGTAATAGGAGATTTGTTTCAGATGGAGCCCACCATTCTTTCCACTACGAACCATTGTTTGCCTTGCTGGTGGGCAGAGCTATCCATCGGCAGCAGCTGGCACTGGAGCCATCTGTCTGTGGGCTTGGGCAGACAGGCCATGGCCCCCGGGGAGGTCTGCAAGGCTGCAAACTATGTCTAAGATTTCCAAGGGGGTCTGGCTATCGCGATATCCTGCCCTGCGGGGGCCAAGACCGTTTTTTCTGGCCTGGCGAGAATGGAGCTCTGGTCGATTTACCGCAGCTGGGGAGCTGGTGACAGTGAAGTGAACTCTGGCTCCCTCTGCTGTCTGCACCACAGCACATACTCAACATTGCACCATGATACGTAAAGAGATTTGGATGTGTCGACACCTCCCCTTCGGAGATACAGGGCCTGATCCCCAGTTACCACATTCCTCAGCTCAGGCTGGGATTTAAGTAGTTTTAACCCCCCTTTTTGCTTCCCCTATTCTGGGTCTGTGCAGAGCTCTGCCTGCCCCCTGGTGTAGATCAGAGCAGCTTCAAGGCTGCTCTAATCTACAGTCTGTTCTCTATTGGCCTTAGGTAGCATAAAATAGGCGGAGCACAGTGCATTCCGACCACGTCCTCAATCCAGCCCCGACACCAAGGGGCTGGAAGCAGGGTACGTGCAGGGCCTTTATGCCAGCTCCACACCGGCCATGGTAGCATAAAGGTGAGTGTAGCTGAGAATCAGGCCCAGGGCAGTGCAGAATGTAGGTTAGAAACAGGCGCTGCGTCGGCAGATCTCTGCACCGTCGTAGCAGCACACCGAACTCAGGAGCAAGGGGCTTTGGTCTGAAACAGCCAGTGTCACATGAGCTTCAAGGAATGTTGCAAAATATGTAATTTATAAGTGTGTGTGTGTTACTGGAAGGGGAGGCAGGTTTGGATTTGTAATTTGCATGACTTATTGCAGGCAGAGCCTATATTAAATTGTACTGCCGCACTTAGGGCGTATTATTTGTGATGCATTTTCAAGTTATTGAAGGGGGGACTGGAGTGTTAGGAATAGGCGCCCCTCTTCTAGCAATGTTCAGGAGGGGGTTTCTAAGGAAATTGGGAGAGAAAATCAAAGGGAACTGGGCCCACAAAACTCTTCAAATCTCTCCCCCCCCCCACTAAATAAGCATCTAGGCTGGAATTTTCCAAGGACTTTAAGGTAGTATGGTGCCAAAATCCCAACAAAAGTCATCCCATCCCTAGAGATTGGAGTTGGGAGGGAAACTGGAAATTCCCTCCCATGGAAAAGTCCACATTTCCGGGAGAGAGAGAGAGAGTTTCAAATAGGAATTAATGGTCAGCTATGCGATACTTTCCATGGGAGGGAATGTTTTTAAAAAATCAATATTG